GGGAAGGACTCACCCAGAAGAGGTGAGGGAAGACTGCCAAGGTCACAAGGAAAGCACGGGTGTCAGAAATGGTCCAGAGGAGGGCGACTGTGGACGGAGTGTGGGGCCATGAGGGAGAGGAAACTTTGAGTTAGACTCGGGAGAGATGGTCACACCGAGGACTTGGTTCTTCATCCAGCGGACACGGAGACGCCCATGACAGGAAGGGCCAGTCAGGATAAAGGCAGGGGTAGGGCAGCCATGGCTGCATGGGGCTTATTTATACCCACACGCCTGCCGTCTCGCACATCGCCCACGCCTAGAGTGGCAACCAGCACATAGTGGGCTACAAAACATCAGCTGGTGGTTATCCTCCAAGAAACCCAAATACACTCAAAATTTTCCCAGTGGGTAGTGAGCGGAGTTGATTTGGCTCACAATCTACTCATGCGTGCATATAGCTACAGAGGTGCTGGACACCACCCCGACATTTGCTCTAGGATTTCAATGGGCTGCCTATTTGCAACAGGCCGCTGAGCAGGAGGTGAGAAGCCAGCTCACCCAGGGGATGGGGGGGGTGACCTAGGGCTCCAAAGTCTCCCTTCCACATGAGTGGCAGGTGAGGAAGATCATGTAAATGTGTAGCAAACGTCTACTGAAAACTGAATTATCCAAACCTCTGGAATCCTCTTAGGAGGCAAAATGGTTGAAAATAATAATAATCATTGTGGAAATATTAACCTCTAGAGATATAATTAATCTTCCCCAAATGGAAAGAATAGTCTCTCAACATTCAAACATTTATACACATGCAAAAACATATAGACATTCATACAGAATAAAATATTAGTTGAATGAATTAACAAATTAACATATTTCCAGAGTTCTAGCTACAACAATACCTTCTCTTTCTTCCATGAAGAAAGTACATTTGAGTACAAATGAGCGAGAGTGATAGAATGTTTTACTAGTCTGTGTGGCCAGGCCCCAGTGCAAGCCAGTTAGACCAGAATCTCCAGGGGTGGGATCCAGCTATCGCCCCGTCTCTGGAGTATTCCAATGTGCATCCAAGGCTGAGATTCAGTGACTTTGAAGGACAAGTGTGACCACCAACACCAGACAATGTGCATTTGTCTCCCAGACCCACCACTTCCGAGATAGGAAGCGAGCCTGGGGCTTCTTTTGTAACCTCTCCCCAGTTTCTCAAATCTGTTCTAGTTTATTTTTTTTTAAGCAAATCGATTTGCATATTTCAATATCTTCTTAGAACAAATTACTTGTGACACATACTACAAATGATCAAGACACAGAAAGACGTCACAACCCCAGAGGCTTTCTGTGTGGCAGAAGCGACTGGTACTTCTTAAGCCCAAAATGTCATGAACCATTTTAGGGCATTAAGAATGACTCTTGTTAGGCCTGAAGCATTTCAGCTAGGATTTGCTATCTACGAAGATAGCGAGTTAGCCTCAAAGAATTCCTCTTATTTCTACATCATAATTTGTTGTTTTGTAGCCAGGAGGGGGTTTGGAAAAGTAAACCTAGTGTATAGTCAATCATTTCCTGCATGTCTGTCATGGGCCAGGCTGTAGAAATTAATATAAATAAGATAAAGTCCAGATCTTTCTGTACCGGGATCAGGCCTGTTGGCACAGCCAGTATAGACAGGTGTTACTCCCTCATACTTGCTCTCACCTATCAACACTGCACACAGCATTTCAAGTGTTCAGCTCACCGATGCCTCCGTGCCATCCCACGAGTAGGTACTATTATTGTCCCACCCCCATTTTACAGATGGGGAAAATAAAGGACAGAAAGGTTAAGTGACTTGCCTAGGGTCACACAGTGTTCCAGAGCTGGATTCAGACCCAGCGCGCCCAACTCCAGAGCCTCCGTGCTCACCCCTCCTGCTTTATTGTCATGGGAACAAAGGGGCAGGAAAGACCACTTCTGGCGGGAGGAAGAGGTCACTTCCTGGGGAAGACAACACTAGCGTGTGTCTTGGGAGATGGGTAGACCTTCAAGAGGCAGAGGTGGGGCAAGGATTGTTTGCCAGCAAGCAGATGGCAGTGTCAGTGAAGATCTGGAAACTCCAGTACCCTTGAGGGAATGCATTAGAGAGACCGCAAGATGCCAGGATGCCAGTCAGGATTTGGACTTCAGTGAATAAGCATTTGGGAGCCACTGAAGGTTTTTGAGCTACGGAGGCCAGGTGGCAAATGGGAAGATGGTGTGGAGGGTGAGGTGGCAGGAGGAGACTGATGCAGGCTTAGTGTGACTCCCCCAGGCTGGAGCAACAGAGGCAGGCTAGGACAGTGACCGCCAGATAAGGAGGAAGGAACAAATGGGAGAGATCACAGGAGCTCAACGGTACTTGGCGTTGGGTTGGAACAAGAAGAGGGGGGAATGGAAGGAGCCAAAGGTGCACCCCATGTTTTGACACTGGAAGGATGGAGTCACTGTTAACTCAGATAGGGAAGACAGGAACAGGCTTGGCAGAGGAAAGGGGGCAGATAAATTCCTTGGAAATGTAAGGAATTAGTCTTATTCTCCAGCCAAACCAGCAGGATGATTTTCTGAAGCCGGGCCCAGGGATCCTTCACAGCGGCTTTCAAGTTGTCCCGTGACCTTTTACCTACTGCAGTTGTGAGATGCTTTTGTTGTGAAGGATTTTAGGAATTCTATCTTTACTTAGACTCTTCAGTCCTAGAAGGCAATGATGTGGTGTAATTCTATCCAGAATACAGGAAAGCCCAAAGTTAGCTTCTTTGTTCAAGGAATTCCAAGCAAGGCAAGAACCGCTTGCGGTCCAACTTGGGCAAAAGTTAAAACATCCTAGAATTGAATTTGAAGCCATTAACAGCTCAGGACTTGGTGCCCTGGTTCTAGAAAGTCAAATTCACATTGGTGAGTGGGGGAGGGCAGTCAGACACAGATCCTGGCCTCAGAACAGTGTGATTTTTTTTTCCCCCTTGTTCCTCCAAGCGTGGTCCACAGAGGAGCAGTGACAACACCCCAAGGCCTATAATCAGAATAAGAACCCCAGGGGGGTTTATTTATATAGTATGTGGGCTTGGAATCAGATAGATATGGATTTAAATCTCAGCTTCACCGCTGAGTACACCCGCTGGAACTGCATGGTGTACAACATCAGTCAGCAGCCCTACACCTTAGAATAACCGTGGAGTTCCAAAAACTCTAAGCCCTGGCCTTCCTGCAGACCAGTCAAGTCAGACTCTGGAGGAGGGCTTCAGTATGTAACCCTCCAAGTGATGGCAGTGAGCTTCTAAGGCTGAGAAGCACCAAAGACTTTGAATGAAAGTGGATTGCTGGAAGCAGACAATCTTCATTTATGTCCTGTCTCTACCATCTCTCACATTATGAAGACTGGGGCTTCTCAACCAACCCCCGAGCTTTAGTTCCTTCATCTGTGAAGTGGGGATGGCATGTAATAGAATCTGGAAGCACTGAGGGAGGTGATATATGTACAGCCCTTGGCACAAGGCACCAAGCTCAGTGACTATGTTATTATTTATGCAAGTGCCAGTTTCCTTTGCAGGAAACTAAGAAACACAAAGCTTGTGGTGCCAACTTGTGGCTACATTCACTCTCCCCACCAGAGGTGACTTACAATTATTTGATCACTAAGAGGTTCATGAACATTGCCTTAACCGTTTCAAAACTGTAAGAACCTTTTTTTTTTTTTTAAGTTGGAGAATGAGACAAAGGTGGCTACCGAGTAACTTTTGCCTAATTTAAGGTTCACCCAATACGCTCCCAAGTGTGGGGTCAGGACCCAGGGGGTCCTGAGCAGGGGATAGACACACCAGGCCATGCCTGTGACTGTCCTACACTTGGGGGACCAGACCCTGGGCCTCATCTTCCCCACTTAGAGCACTTAGGACGGGAAGTGACTAATTTACTAAGTAAAGGCTTACGCTGAACTAAAGGATTTTACATTTAATTTGAACTTTCTACAAGTCCTTCAGCTATTCCCGACACAGCACACAGTGACGGGAAAAGAAAGGTTAACACCATTCTAAGTATTGAAGTAAAAAAATGAGTATGTCAAATCCAAGTGTCCATTTCTACCTCTGCAGTGTTTTAAGTTTTGTGCTATTTATTTCTGCCAGAGATTAAAACGTGTTTTTATTAAAAAACAAATGGGGAGCAGAAGGGTCTTCGAAAAGACTGAATCCCCAAACTTCACTTTTTAGAGCTCTGCAAGTAGGAGAGCAAGGCCTGAGATGACTTGTGCAAAGTCAGATGCAACTTAAGGCCACAGCCAGGAGGTGTAAAGTGACCCAGTCAGACGGAGAGGAAACAGCCTCCAGTGAAAAAGGAACTGAACGAAAGGGGAAAAGAGACATAATAGGGCTTTGAACCAAAGAGCTTTATAAATACTTGTGGCTTTAACCTGCCCAGGAGGTAGATAAGCATGTTCCCTTTAGTTTGTCCTCAAACTCAACCTCTCACAAGAGGTTAAGGAACACACCCAAGGTTGGAATTGACACTCAGACCTCCCGACTTCCTGGCTTTGGAGCTGGGAGTTCAGCCTCCACCTCCCTTGTCTATCAGGAAAAACATCTGGGTTATAGCGCCTGAGGATGGGATATCAAGGGGAAGTGGTGGAAGTTTGGTTCTTTAAGAAACTTTGAGCAGGACCATGTAAGGCCCGGCCAGCGGCCCCTCCCATGGCCTGAGTCACAAGGCTCAAGTGTTTCTTCACTTCTCCCCTGGACGCTTCCCTGCTATGACCTTTAGAGAAATCTGTTTGTCTGAGATGTCGGATGGAAGAGAGTAGCGACTTCAAAATGCGTGAACACAGACACGCCCGAGGCGCCATCTCAGGTGACAATGACTTTCCTTCATCACTTCCCCGCGATCCGCGCGCGGCTCCCTGCACTGTGAGAGCCTGCTTAAAGCCAAGCGAGGAACGGGCAGGACCGCAAGAAGAAAAAGCAAGGGGAAGTCATCTTCAAAGGCCAAAAGGTTATATAAAACATAATAAAATACAACTGTTTCCTTTAAAATTTTTAATGGTCAGGAAATGGTATAGAATAACTGCCAAGTCACATAAATTAACTTTTTTGTTAACATTTGTGATCCCGGAAAGAACACTCTATCAGTCGATGCAAACTGCATCAGTGGTTGTCTGGACACGTGACTGCGGGCCACTGACCCATCTTCACATATTCCAGAAAAACAGGCGGCTGCCATGCTTGGCAGGCTTCAGATCTCCTTCTATCTCAGGGTTGGGCTCTGGTCTTGGTCTTGAGTGATAGGGATTCTCTGGTAAAGGTCTATCTGTTTTCACTTTGGTGACCTGCAGAGGGTGGAGAGGAAAGAGGCGAAATTGAAAATTAGGTGGCGCAGTCGATGACCTCAATGTGTCTTCTACGGTTTCCTGTGTCCTGCTGCCCAGCTACTTCTTTGAAGCCGCAGTAATCACATTCAGACTCATCCGATCCTTGAAGAAAGCCTGCTTTGTGCCCTGGCACGTGGCAAAGGTCAGGGCTACAGAAGGGAACAAGCACCGCACTGTCCGCACAGGCTCGAGGTCCAATGATCAACCACAGCCCCCTGACACATCAACTACCATCACTGACACGGGCTGCTGGGGAGGCAAGGACTCCACATAGCCACCGGCCCCAAGGATAGGGGCCTGGACTCCCTCTGAGGGATGACACTTAGCTTAATCTTGAAGGATGAGCTGTTAGGAAGAGCAGGAAGGGAAGGACATTCCAAGTAAACAAACTACATCTGCAGAGAGGCAAGTCTCTAGAACAACCAAAGCAAAGGCCACAGGAAAAGCAGAGGGAGACGAAGCACCTAAGCCAGCACTTCTTGTTGCTAGACACAGTCCTGAGCACGATTCCATTTCATTATCACATGAGGTCACACTGCAGCGGCCCGCAGGGGCATTCTAGCTAACAGTGGAAAAACTAGCACTCAAAGACAGACCTGCCCGCTCCCAAGCCACGCTATGCTGGCCTGCAGGGATGGGGCAACGAGGGGAATGAACAGCATGCAGAGGTGTTTGAACTGTAACCTGATGGTAACAAGGCGCCACTGAAGCAGGGGAGCAACTTAATCCCATCTGCCGGCTACAAAGCGTGGAAGCTGGACTGGCAGGGGCGAGACCAAAGCGGGAGCTGAGCTAGCAGGCCGGGCGAGACACTACCCACCGGGCCGCAGAAATGGAGACAGAAGGTGTTTATGCCTGTTCTGTCCTGATGGTCACAAACATCTCCAGGGGAAACCCAAAGGGAATTTCTCATTTTAAAGGAGACGAGGCCACAGTTTATTTTTTTTTAAGATTTATTTATTTATTTATACAAGCACTGGGTACTGTCAGAAGCACGGGAGGATGAGAGAATTCACCAGAGCCAGAGCGGGGAGCAGAACAGGCAGCCAGACGAAGTACACTGCTGAGGGAAGCAGTGGGCGTGGCAGGAGAGGTCTGCGCGCCATGTGGGACCCTTGCCAGCGGCTGGGGATTGAACTGGCACTGCAGAGGCTGCGGGCAGCTTTGCAGCCCAGCGCTCAACCACTGCGCCACCAGGGGAGGCCCAGAAGCCACAGTTTTTAAGTTTTCTTATCAAGTGGTCTGAACTCCAAGCTACTCAGCATAAATTAATCTCCCCAGATGTTCAAACTCAAAAACCATTTACTGTGAACAAAGTTTCTTTGGACACATCACACAACCTGCTCAATGACCACCCTCTGAGGCACCTGCATCTGCAGCTCACAGAGGAGCAGGGAGGCGACTCGCCTAAGACTCAGACACAGCCCAGTCAGCCGGAGCAGGGGCCCAGGTCTTCTTGTACAAGTCCAGAGATGTTTCTTATTCTTATTAATTTGAAAACAGTCTTCTCCCTTCTCTGCTGTAATCAGAGATCACCTATGGCTCCTTACTGCATGAGAGAATAATTCCAAATGCCTAAGCTGGCACTGGAAGCTCTTTAAGGAATTCAAGCAATCTGGAAAAATGTTGCTCAAACTTAAAATGAAAGGGTCCCCTTAAAAGACATATTACTATGGTAAGAATAAACAACTTCCTCTTCTGCACCTCCCTGAGCGGAACAGGAGAAGCATGTGGTCAAGCCATCACCAGGTGAACAGCCTACAGGAACCTTCAGAGTCCCGCCTGTGGCACGGGGTGAGCAGCCCCTCCGGGGGGTTGGGATGAGATGTAGGAAGTGCCTGATGTACACGAGGTGCTCCAGAAATGTTCAGTAGTAGCATTATTAGGATAGGAGAATGGGGGTGATAAAGCGTCACTTCGCCTAGGAAAGTGAGAAACTCTGGGGAAGGCATCTGAGCTGAGGCAGACGTGTGCGCCGGAAGTCCCGGGGGGTGGGGGGGTGGGAGGATGATGATCCCATGGAAACAGCAAAGGTGAATGAGGCTGAACGTTGGGCTTTATCTGACTATCACCATTCTAGAAAGACACTCGATACTAAATTTAAGTATAACTGAAGCTGATAATCCTCTTACAGAAATACTTTTGAAAAGAAGACAATAGCTTTCTATTTTACAGGTGTTTTTAATGTTACTAAAAAATTCAGGAATAAATAACGCTTTCTTAAACAGCATGATTTGTTAATTCTCCTTTCATGAGAGACAGAATGAGAAAAGGTAGTTTTCTTTATTAAATATGGAAGTTCTACCACTTTTCAGCGCAGAATTAGCAGCTATTTAAAATAACTTATTCAGTGCAACAAAAGAAGGTATCTGAAGATAATCAAGCCAGATTTTAAAACCAAAAAACCCCGCTAAGCCTTTCCTCCACTCATGACACCAAGCTTATGCCTCAGCTCTCCGTAGGGGCTGCACGCGAAGGGGAGAGGAGTGGCAGCGACACGGGCCCCGGCACTCTGGACCGGGTGCCACGCTGCAGCGTGTCGTAGATGCTCCAGCTTGATCCTCACAGGAAACTAGGGGCTAATACTGGTCCCTTTTCATAGCTGTGGGATGACAGGAACATCAGGCAGTCTGCTCAGGCCCCACAGCAACTCAGCAGTGGAACCGAGACCCACATGCACTGCCTGTCTACATTTAACCTGAGCTTGATTCTCCAAGTCTTGCTACCTTCACTGTCCCGGAGGGAAAGGAGGTGATGAGCTCAAGAAACAGGGAGAGGCCAGATGACAGAGGGCCCTGGATGCCAGGATATGGAAAGGATGCTTTTAATTTACAAGCAATACCCCCTGAAAAGTTTTCAAAAAGAAAATGATACTTATTTTCCACAAAGATCATGCCGAGAGTGAAGATGGAATTAGGCGTGAAATTCTTCAGCTTCAGAGGCTGCACTCTCTTCCTAAATCTGAAACAATCCACCCACCCCTCCCGGAAATTCAGGGAGCCCAGGTTAAGAATTCCTGTCCGAGAATGGGGACCATGGGAGGATTCAAAAACTACTTGGGGAGATGCAGCTGCATAAGACCTGACGAGTGTGTGACAAGGCGTGGGGAGTAGAGCTCTGCGGGGTCTAGTGCCAGCGCTTCAACAGACGGTGGTGCCAACAGAGACAGGAAATACAGGGGGAAGAAAACTCAATTTCCAAACTCCAGACACGTCCTTTTAAATGTTAGGTTATGTTCCTGGAAAGTCTGACATAAGCCTCAACCCATTCCCTGTGAGTCCAAAGCCACCTCAATGTCCCAATGGGGAGTGTCCTCTTGTTCACTCTCCTCTACACCTTTCTGTTCTTCTCTTTGCTAATTAACCAAAAACAAACCTGCATGTGCTGGAAGATCTATTTAAAGGAATATTACTATTAAATAAATTCCCTGGACTATGAAGATTTACCTGATTGGTAAATCTGCCATTCTCACATCCTCTCTGTTCTCACAGAAGAGCCTTTTCTGGCCCCCTCTTGCCTTCATCCACCCCTTAGTGAGAGTGGACCCCGCGGGAAGCCCTCCTTACCTTGGACAGCTCTCCCAGATCCGGCCGCACCCAGCCCAGCTTGTCCAACACACACTCGTCAAACTTGGCCTGCTGTTTGCGACAGCGACGGAACAACTGCAGGCCAGAATAGTCGATGCAGGTCCAGTATTCTGTGAAAGGCTCTGCACAGTGAAGCTTTATCTGCCTGGAAAAGAGGGCAAGGTTAGGGGTGGCCCTTTGCTGCAATGAAGGCAGAAAAGTAGGGAAAGAAACACTCTTATCTCAAAAGACAAGATCCTCAGGGCAAGAAAAGGTCTCTGAGGAATAAGACCTAAATTCCTTATGTAGCAAATTCTTTATGCACCAAAAGGTGGTGGCAAAGGCGTGTGCAGGCTACCCAGAGGACAGCGCTCCTCGAGGGGCCTATTCAACTCTTTTCTTTATACTCAATTCCAAAGATGATCAGTTTAGCAAATTCAGAAGAGGAGGCACAACCAGAATGGGGATGCTGACAGCAGTCACATATGACAGTGGCCAAAAAAAGAGACAGCATTGTAAAAAGCATATATACAAACTAACACAAGGAAGATCCTGGGGTGGCTGGTGTGGAGGCAAACTGCCCCTCTCTTCCCAAGCTCATTCTATTAAAGCACTGGATGGAAAAAGACACAAATTGTTGTCATGAAGAAAATAATGGAATTATGTTTGGTGCTCTCCGTTAAGAAGTAAGGCGGCACATAATTCATCTGGGGACCACAAAAAATGGCAAGAGGAAAAGTTAACTTTCATGTAGGAAAGGAATAAACCTCAATTATTTTGCAAAACTCCCCCCTTACTATTCAACCTAATAATCAAACAAATCAAATTCAGAGTAAAATACCATTATTTTAGATAAAAGCCGTATCAGAGGCAGTGGGAAAATGCAGAGCTCTGGGATGGTAATTACAAATTATGAGACGCTTGTCTGTTACACGCCCCTACACTCACCAGGATCTCATTTCCCAAGGCTCAGGAGAGCCCAGAGCTGGCCTAAGGAAATACAGTGATTGACAGGCTTTCCACTCCAGCTCTGCTCCCTTCCTGGGTGCCAACCAGTGCAGGCAGTTTCCACCACCCATCCAGGTACACTGGCATATCAGTGGGGTGGCAGGGGTGTGAAGAGGAAGGGAGAATGACAGCAAAGCCTGGGGAGCATTTCTGAGTGGCCACTAGCCTTGCTGACATGACCACCAGAGCTCCATTAGAGATCACCCTGGGGGCAAGGCGCTGCTCCTCGGAGAGGCCTGCACTCCTCTGTCAGGTGGCGACCACTTGAGCATACTGGCTGCACCTCACTCACAGTTCCCCACCAAGGCCTTCAGCCACGAGGAGCTGAAGGACAAACATTCCCCATGCACACACACGACCCCTCTGGGCCACGAGAGAAATGCTTTGCCAAAGTTCTCTTAGAAAATAAAATTTTTTAGGGCCTCCCCTGGTGGCACAGGCAGTAGAGCACCACGCTGTGAAGCTGTCCACAGCCTCTGCAGCACTGGTTCGATCCCGGCAAGCCGGCAAGGGTCCCACATGGCGAAGCAGACGTCTCCTGTCGTGCCCGCTGCTCCCCTCAGTGGTGTATTTCATCAGTCTGCCTGTTCTGTTCCCTGCTCTGTCTCTGGTGAATCCTCTCTCCCTCCTGCATATCTGGTCTGTACCCCAGTTTTTGTGTAAATGAATAAATAAATATTTTTTTTTAAAAAAGGCATACATTTAAAAAAAGAAAAAAAGAAAATTTTTTAAATAAATAAACACTCATACCTTGCTGGCAATCAAATCAACGCAAATTCAAGCAAGAATAAATCATCACTTTTTCCTACAAAATACTGAAATAATACATAATGCTGGCCAGCTCTAAGGGCAACATAAACTGACTCAGCTTTGAAAACAATGCACACACAAAGGTAACCAAAGGTAACCTGGATAAATCAGGCTTATCCAAAACAAGCAAAAATTAGAATCCTCAATGATATTTAATGAGAGGAATGAGTCAGGTACATCACGGCTGCTTATGAGAGGTAGAACATTAGATAGTCATTATCAATTATTGTGAAAACGACACAACTCGAAAGAATGTTCCCAATAGTTTCGTGGAAAAACGAATTTTATATTTAAAATGTACACACCTTGACTTTAACCACAAAAGTAACTTTGCATGTGGACAAAGACACAGAAGCAAGAAAGAAGGAAAGCAGCTGTGTGAAGGAATGTGACTCTTTCCTCCTCACGACAGTGGACGTCTGCAGGTGCTGCCTGGCAGCGCTCCCTCCCCGCTCTTCTGTAACATCCTTCTCATTTTCCCTTGAGGAACAGCCCCTTCCTATCTCTCTACAAAGTGGTCTGGAGGAACCTACGTCTACTCCCCACTTCTGGCCTGACCAATCACAGCATTCCATCTCCTGAACCACAACTGACCTAAGATATGCGTCTGAACCAGCCAAGTAGACCAGCTCAGTCCAGAGGCCTCTGCTCAGACACTGGAGACTGGCCCTGGCCGGCTAAGCAGAGAGAACAGCCACGTGGGGCAGCTAGGGCCCATTTTTGCTACAGCAGGGAAAGTGTCTCCTTGAAAATAAGTTTGACAGAGAAAAGCAGAAGAGATTGGAGGAGCTGAGGAGGGGCTAAGACAGCCAGTGGCAGTGAGACGACGAAAGCCCTCGAGCGTGGCCCTGCCGGATGCCAGTCCTATTTCTGGACGTCACAGTCACAGGAGCCAATTCCCGCTGAGACGTGTTTCTGTCCCTTTTATTACCGTCCTCCCTAAAGGGCTGACTAAAGTTACATTTTTCTGTAATGATACGATTTGGATTGTCTACTTTCAGTGTTGCGTACTTTACTTTCAGTGTCACGTACAACGCAAAAGGCTGTGAAAACGCTCTGTGCTCTGCAGGAGCGACACCCAGCCTCTCAGGGAGCGCCGGCCTGCGAGCACTGTGCCGGGCCATTTCTAGGTGACTTTTCACAGGGTTCACGGCAAGCCTCCGCAAGATGAGCATGATTCCACAGCCTGGGAAACTGGGAGTCATGGGGATTACCTAACTGGCCGAAAAGTAAAAGCAAGTAACAAAATTAACTGTATGGTGTACTGACAGCTTACTTAGGTCTGTCTGGCTCAAAGCCTTGTGCCCCCAAATCAGGACGAAAAACGTCGCTTCTGTTCACCTAGCCGGACGTTCACCGAGCTGCGCGCGCCTTGATGAGCCCCAAACAAGCACCAACGTCGAGACTTACCTGAAGAAGTCCAGGGCACACTTGTTGACGAGCTTGCCCTCTTCCAGACACCGCCTGGGGTCCTTCTCCTCCCAGCGGCACAGCATGAACTCCTTGTTGGGCTTGTCGCACTGCGCGCCATAGTGGTGGGCCGCGGCCTTGAGCACCGAGGAACTGACCTTCACCTGCAGAGACAATGGGAACAGCACATAGTGACCAGGACCCCACATCCTCAACTTCACCTCACGCTGCGACAGAGGGACACAAAGGTGGTCTATTCTGACTCTGCCAAGCGAAGCCGGATGGCCTCCCCGCTCCTCCACGGCCTGCAGAGCTCCTCACAGTTCTCCGCTGTGGTCGGTCATCTTGCCAGCTTGGCACACCTACCCCGAGTGACAGCTCTAGCGGGTGGGGTGAAGCTCTGAGGGACGAACTACCTCTGGGGAGCACTAAGACTCTCTTCTCCAGGAAGGAAGGCAATAGAAGGGCAGATACAATTCCCAGTGGACTGAAGAATCCCGGAATATGAGGCCGGAAGGGAAAAGAGCATCTAGGCCAGCAAGTTATTACTAATGATGAAGAACTAAAAAAATCCGTACATTTTTTAAAATTCTAGAGTCTACCCAAGGGGGCCTATCACCCCCGCTTGCATGCCAGGGCACTCTGCCTTGAAGCACGATGCAGCTGCGCTGGCCCGCAGGGAGCGGGCACGCCGTCCCAGCCGCACCTTGAGCTGCCGCTGCCACGGCCCTTTTCTGGGCCCTTTTCCGGGTTGCCTTTCCCTGGGCCAATGCCACAGCATTTCATTACAATCACGGTGACCTAGCAGAACGCGTGCTGTCTGGGGCCCACGCTCCTCATTATTCTTCCTTGTCTGCACCGTCCTGGCGAGTCTTCCAGATGGACACTCCCTATAAGGCAGTGGGACTGCACTACTCACATTATACACTCCCCCGCCCCGCGTGGCCGCTAGAACGTAAGCTCCAAGAGGGCAGGGATTTTGTAGATCCAACACCCCAAGAATGCCACCTCTCCCCAAGTTAAACTATGACGAATGCATTCTTTACCACTGCCCAGGGAACCAAAACAGAGTCTGGCACAAGGAGCTGGCGAGCGCTCGCCAGGAAGACAAGCTGCAGAGCACACGCATTGCGTGCACCCTCTCTTCCAGGCCACACACTCTATCCTGACGGCTACAGACAATCTCATTTCCTTCCACTAAAATTACAGGGCCCTTCATACAGGAATTGTGCCTATCTCTCACTTATCCCTCAGTATTTTAACATTTTTGATACCAAGTAGGACACGCTATTAGCTTCTCCAGCTGGTTACTGCTTGTCTGTATGGGGAACCCTGTCTCCCGTCTTACTCAACTCTGTTCGTTGATACAAAGCTCAAGAGGATTAAAGGAAAACTCCCATAAATGCATAAGTATGGTCTCCTTTCCTTTCTACCTCTTTGTTCTCCTTCTCATTTCTAATCTCATTGCTCTCATCAAGGCCTTCAGGATGACGCGGGTGAACAGTGGCGGTGGGCGCCCTTGCTCTGCCAAGCCTGGGGGGATTGACTGCTGTTGTGTGGGAAGTAGCTGTTGGGTATTCCTCATAAAGGATGTTTCTTTCTGATCCTAACTGGCTTCCTTTCACTGTTGTTTTTTGATCAGGAAAGGCTAACATTTTTCTTTTTCTTTTTTATTACTCTATAAATGTAGCATTAACAGATTTTCTAAAGTAGCTACTTTAAAACAGATTTTCTTTAGTAGCTACTTTAGTACTTTTCCAAAGTAGCCATAATAAAATCTAGTCTGTCATCATGAATTGTACTTTCATAAGCCACTGGACTTGATTTGCAAATATTAAGAATTTTTACTTGAGAAGAGTCTTTAACTTTTTATAAATTTCACACAGTTTCGGTTAAGCTATTAAGATAAAAGACAATGAAAGATGAAGAAGGTAATTCCTCTATATGCAATACAGGACAGGACAATAAGCTTACAACTATGTCTACTAATACTACAACTGTTACAATTGTCAAAGCAAAGATAAAGTTCTGATGTAAGTGAAATCTGCCATGACAAATCTAACAGATGTTTAAAAATCTGTAAAGTTTGTATTAAGGTCTTTGATAAGATTTGATTGAGATTGAATGGCAGACATTTGCTTTATTACCTACCGATAAGAGATGGGAGAATATAAATCAAGACTCAACTTTTTTAAAAGTGCAGTATCTTTTAAAAAGTGTTATCGACAGTGGCTGGTGACAGCTTCACAGGCTGCATCTTAATTAACCCAGGCCAGGGAGCTACCCACATAGCACAGCAGACCTTTCCTGACTCGCCCGCTGCTCCCCTCAGCAGAGTATTTCATCGGTCTGCCTGTTCTGTTCCCCACTCTGTCTCTGGTGAATCCTCTCACCCCCGCATCTCTGGCCAGTACCCCAGTTCCTGTATACATAAATAAATAAATCTTTTTTAAAAAGTGTTAGCTACATTTACTTACTCATCAAATGCCTTAAAATATCTTTAAAAGTGGCTGGATTAATGACTCAAATATGCCTTCCTAGCTATCATACCCCAAAAGCCTATGGCATTCTCTGCTTCAGTTCCCTACAAATGTGGCATTCCGATAAAAACCCAGGTACAGCCGTGTCATCAGGCATGTTAAATATGCTGTCACAGAGAAATGAAGGACAAGAGCCACTCATCGAATCTGCCCCAAGAAAAAGTGGAGGAGCGCTCCAGACCACATAGTGGGCCAGAGGCAAGCACAGAGCTGGATCCAGAAACTGCGACCTCCAGTCAGACCCAGTACATGCCCATCACTGAGGTGGCAAAGACCTGCAGATGTCACCATGTCCCCTCACCTGCTTCTTCATTAAGGCTGATGAATTCCAACAGAAACAATTTCCCTTCGCAGCTGCGCACCACAAACACCCTCCACTCAACTCATTCAGCTCCCTTTGTCTCACCACCACCACGCTCCCACATTCTTCCTCCTTCAATGTCACAACAGCCTGACTACAGAGCAGGTTTACACAGTCTGCAGGTGGGAACAGCAAGGCAGGCAGTCTTACGACCTACACCCAGTCGTCTAGTCCTGCTCGCTCTTCCTTAAACCATGGCTGCATTCTTCTTACAGCACTTGAATTATACTCTGCCTTATATTTTACCTAATTTATATAAAATGGGGTATAATGACACTTATCTGACGGGACCGTAATGAGAATTAAATGAGTTAATAACTATAAAAATACGTGCCCCGCACACAGAAAACACATCATCGACATGAGCTATTATTTTACTTAGAACTGTCAGTTGGAGTTTCCAATCCAAAGACTGACACTTTTTCCATAGGGATGTGTTATAACTCCAACTCAGTGAGGTGTAAAATATGTTAACTTGGCTCTTAAACTTTCTCCTTCTTATGGCTTCTGCTGTCGGGGTAAATAGCTGACATTGACTCCTCAACCTTTCCTACCTCTATCTAATTTGTTGCCAAGTCTCATCAGTTCTGGATAAATCTGTAAGCATAGTCACCCATAGTATTGGGGTCATTAATATCTTCCTCAATTATTTCAACAGCCACCAAGACTAGTCTCCCTGTTTTTCTTTTCATCTCTTCCATCCATTCTGCAGGAAGCTGCTGTAGTGATCTCCTTGATATTCTTATTACCCTGCTACAAAAACAAATTAGCCACGAACCCCCTGAAACACAACAGGAGAACAAAGCCGAAACTTCTTACAGGGTATTGAAAGCCTCTGGACCCAAACTCTTTCCAGCCTTCTTACCCATGACCCTGCTAACGGAGACTATTTGTCCTTCTCCCAAGAACACTGAGCTCACTGCTCCAGCACCCAGTTTTGGGCCCTGCATTTTCCCATCTCCTTATCTTTGCTTAGGTCCCACCGTCCCTTAGAAAGCCATTTAGCCAAGTCTGACATTATGCCCAAGAAGTGCTTTCCCTGGACTCTGTACAGCCTCAGAGAATTATACAGCTGGAATCACTTCATCTTACAAATAAAATAACTGTGTCTGCAATTGCTAAGAGTGACTAATCAAGGTAACTGGGCAGTTAGGCCTAGAATTTAGATTCAACTTCAAATACTACTCTTCTTAAACCATGTCTGTCCCTCTTCCACAGCATTTATTTTAGTTATTTCTGTAACTATCTGTTTCTCATTCAACTGTGTCTGTACCTTAAAGGCAAATCTCTTCCAGATATAGAAACTCTTCTACAGGAAGTAGGACCTCCACGTTTCTTAGACCAAATTAAAGTTCCAATGAAAAATACAGCCACCCAAGGTCAACCCAGCTTCACAGCGGGAGAACAAACCCTTCCCTACTTCTTAGGAAATATCCATTTATTATAATAGTAATAGTTGCCATTCTCAAGGCATGTAAGAAGACTGAATGAAATAATGCAGGTAAACAGTTAACCTAGTGGATGGGATATAATTTCCAGCATGTAATATTTAGTCTTGTCCTCCCTGATCAACCCCATTCTGTCACTGACACTCCTGTGCCATTCCTAGAAACTTCACCTTTTGTACTTCACTTACAAAATGAAGGGCGAATTATTTAGTCTGGCTTTGAGGAAGCTGCTGCCCAGTCCTGTCTCAGCCCAAGGTACTTCTGGCTCAGCAAGTGCTGCTTCCTGCAACACTAGAGTCTCACATGCAACAGCACTTATGTCCCTAAACACAGAAGGTTCTGCTAAGCCTTCTCACACTTGAGAACTTCTGCCAAAATACAATAGATTGAAAGCGTGGGCTTTGAAATTAGACTTGGGTTCACACTCCAGCTCTACCACTTCCTAGCTACATGACCTTGGGCGAGCCATCTACTCTCATGCTTGCTTCCTTATCTATCAAGCGGAGGCACCAAGTATGGAGCTGCTGGTAGGACTGGCCAAATGAGTGCATGAAAAGCTATGAGCATCCTCCCTGACAGCTAGCGAAGGCCCCATCACACCACCTTTGCTACAATTAGCGTTCTCCCGTCTTCTCTTCTCACAGCACTAACTACACTACTGTAATTGTCTCTTGATGTGTCTGTCTTCCTGCTAGATTACAAACTCTGAGCGCTGGGATTCTCCCTCTTATTTTCCAGTGTCTGCACAGGGATAATTATTCAAATGATATCCCTTGAATAAACCCATGTTTTAAATGCCCTATTACCAAACACCTTCCCAGGGCTGTTAGCACATTCACTCTCCAGCATCAGCTCCTTCCCTGCGGCTTCCGAGCTCCACTGTACCGCCACCGGAGCTGCTTCTTGCATGACTTTCCCTCGACTGTGAGCACCTGGGGTTGTTTGCTCCCTTCGGGGGTGCGGTCTGAGTATGAGGTGACACGAATAAGTGGGGCGGCCCTGGTTGGTGTTGAAGAAAAAGTACCACGAATAGGCACGTCCGGAGAGGCAAGTCGCCTGGGGGGAGGGGAGCGGGGAGGCGAGTTCTCAAGCCACGGTGGGAAGCGGCGGGGCGACACCGGATATGAGGCGAGGCCATCCGTGGGTGCCCCCGTGCACAGTGTCGAGGGGTGAGGGGTGGGGGTCCCCGGGGTCCAGCGTCCGCTAAGGCCAAGCAGTGCTGGGCCCGGGCCCGAAACGTGCCTGTCCTCCGGACGAGCCTCACCTCCTGCACTTTCAGCTCCTCCAGAGTAGGCAGCTCCACTATCCCCGGCATGATGGCGGTAGCCCCGACCCGGAGGAGGCAGCCGCAGCCGCGTCGCCCCGTCTCCTTGAACTCCCCTTTCGACCGCCGAACAGGGCCGCCGAGCGCCTGCGCATGCGCAGCCGGCGACACGCAGGCGCACTGCTCTGCCCAACCGCGAGTCACAGAGCATGCGCAACACCTGGACGTTCTGGGAGACCGTGGGGGCGTGGCCTAGCGCCGGCTCCGCCCACCCCGGTTGTCATAGTGAAGGGGTAGGCAGAAAGACGCCTGGATTCCAACTATTGGAAGCCAGAGGCCGGCCCCATGGAGTACACGGGGAGCCAATATATTGGGGAATTTGTACATGGGAGGTAAGGCCCCCTTTTGATGCACTATGTCTTCAACATCTGTGATTGGGAAAAGAAGTCTTTTTGCTTTTGCAAAGGTACTTGGTGCCACTTCCCACCAACTTTGTCCCTTTTAACCTTCAGAACTACCCTTTCAGGTAGGATTGTTTGTTCCCATCTTACAGTTCAGGAAAATGTCTATGCAGAGAAGGGAGATCACTTTCTCAATGACAGAAGCAGAGCTGAGCTTCATTCATTTCATGTGTATTTGTGTGTGTTTGCTATCTGCCATTTTTAGATATGGGTAAGACTGAGAAATGATAATATTCTTTCTCCTGGAATTCACAGTCTAGTTGGTGTATTGCCAGCAAGCAAATAAATGAGAAAACCATTTCACCTATTGTCTTTTCCTAAATCTTTCCCCTGCTCACAGCAATCCTATGAGATAGAGGCCATCACCCCCATTTTACAGGTGAAAAAAATAAGGTTCAAAGTAGTTACAACACTTGCCTTTGGAGGCACCAGGGACTGAACCCAGGACCTCATACATGCTAAGCAGGTGCTTTCCCATTGAGCTGTACCCCCTGCCAGGGAGGATTCTGATGCCATTCATAGAAATTGAGAACTCTGAGGAGGGGCCGCTTTGGAGGAAGAGAGGATCAGTTCCATTTTGAGTGAGCTGGAGATATCTGCGGGTCTGAGAAATGATGTCCAGTTGACAGTTCAGTAAAAGAGGGTGGAGTCTAATGTCAGAGAAGGGTTTAGAAGGAGATTGCAAAGAGATGCAAGAAAGGAGAAGAAGTCTCTCTCCTCCCATGTCTTGCAACAGCGTAAAAGCAAAATAATTTTTGAGCTTTTGTTATATGCCAGGAATTCAGCTGTAATCTCACAGCTATTATTTCATCCAATTATCCCAAACAGCTATGGGTCGGGGGTAGGGGAACAGGAGTGTTGTCATTATCCCCATTTTACAGAGACGTGAAGGCAGTTGCTTAAGGTTACACAGGCAGGGAGAGGTAGATACCGGCCTGGGCTCCAGGTCTGCGTGGCTCAGAGGCTGTTCCTTGACCCCAGTGCTCTCCTGCCTGGGGCCTGTGCCATGACAGCACCTCTGTCAGCCAGGCAGTCAGTCACTAGCTTTTCTGTTTCCTTCATTCCTTATGTGGTAGATTCTGGAGCTGAGGATACTAAGGTCTTCATCCCAAAAAGTGATTAAATAGGAGAGAGGAGGCACACAACGATAACACAGGGAGAAAGTGCTAAGTGTCCAACAGAAGCACAAACAAAAGCCTAGAGACATCCCAAGGCCAAGTTAGGAGAGGCGACTTCAGCTAGTGGGGAAGGATTGAAGAAATGAATGAAAATATATTTCTTAAGCACTCCATGACGTCAGGCCCTTCACTAGGAAATCCGTCACTCACTACCTGGGTTAGGCTCAGCCATTGTACCCATGAAGAAACTGGACAACAGGTGGAGGTGGGGGTCCTGCCCTGTGCCCCCAGATGGGCCTGTCTTCCCTCTGCCTGGCATTTACACACACTCTGTAAATGCTGTGTGCTCCCCACCCCACCTCTGGGGGACAGGGGCTGTGACTGCTTTGGTCCCTGTTGTGTCTGTGTGGCATCTTGCTGCCCAGACTCAGCCTAGCACCTCATACATACTAGGTGCTCCATGTATATTTGCTGGATAAAAGAAAGGCTCAAAGGCAGGAAGGAGCACAGACAAACAGAAAGGTTTAGGAAAGTTTGGGAACTAAGATTCAAACCCTTTCTCCCACCTAAATATCATGCTTTCCAAATATTCCCCTTGTGGTGTAATGGGCAGGGGTGTGCTGGTCTTGCTGGGGGGAGCAGGGAAGATACAGAACCAGCTTCCAGGAACCCTAGTTTCAACCTTACCTTGTACATCCCTCCACTTTCTGTGCCTCCAAGTGGGTACCTCCAGGGGCAGTGTGAACTACAGGACAGCCGGCAGGTGAAAGGGAGCACAAATATACTGAACCCTACCTACCCTTCCCTGCAAAAATACAGCCCCCTCATTTTTGAGCTTTTGAAGGAAACAAAGATTTTTGGTATTGAATAGAATATTGCTGGGACAGTGGCATCTGAGGATCCCAGATGAAGTTCCCGCTACCCCTCCCGTGCCTGCCTGTCCTGATCCTCCAGCTGCCACGCAGGGCTCAGTGACGTCCCTTTGTCCTCACAGGATGGAGGGCAATGCTGAATACATCCTCCCTACCGAGACGAGATATGTCGGGGAAATGAAGGATGGCATGTTTCATGGCCAAGGAACCCTGTACTTCCCCAGCGGGAGCAGATACGACGGCATTTGGGAAAAGGGATTGGCCATCAAGGTGATCAGCCTGGGAAGGGGGTGCTGGGAAGGGGAGAGCCCAGACAGAAAAAGACCCCAGCTCTCCCGGTCTGGTGCCCACCTCCTTCTACTCCCTCTTTATCTCCTAGGGCTCTGAAATTCTCTTCTTCTGGATACAGAAGTGTCTATGGAGAGGCGAGGATGAGTTCGAATCCTGTTATGCCACTAACTAACTGTGTGACCTTGGGCCCATGACTTCCCCTTTTGAGACTTGCATTCCTTATCTATAAACTGAGGACAGTGTTTGTATTAGTTCCCTATTGCTGCTGTAACAAATTGCTACAAACTCAGTGCCTTCAAATAACAGAAACTATCTTACAGTCCTGGTAGTCAGAAGTTAAAACCAGACCAGAGGGCTGCATTCCTTTCGGAGGCCCTATGGAAGGATCCATTTCCTTGCCTTCTCCAGCTTCTAGAAGCTGTCTGTATACTTTGGCTCATGGCCACATGTCACTGTGACTCCCACTCTGTCGTCACCTCGCCGGCTTTCCACTACTTCTGTCATCACCTCATCTTCTGTGACACTGACCCTTCGCCTTCCTCTTGGGGGGGGGAGGGACTCTTGTGATGATATTGGGCCTACCCAGATGATCCAGAATCATCTTCCAGCTCAAGACCCTTAAGTCACATCTGCATGTCCCTTTTGCTTTGTAATGTGGCTATTCACAGGTTCCAGAGATAAGAAGTGGACACCTTTGGAGGAACCATCATTCATCTGCCACAATAGTACTAGCACCTCCTGGGCTGGTTATGAGAGTAAGGAGGCACTCAGTTCGTGTTAGCTCTTATACTATTACTGCCACCACCACTACTATCGTGGCAAGTCGTCCAGTCCAAGGGGTCTAGCCAGGGATCTGTTGGCTTTGGGTAGAAATCAGGGCATCCATGAAGCCTTCTGACTTATATACAAGAGTGTCTATGTGTGCTGGGCTCTATTATTCTCTGGGGAGAAAAATAGCCCTTATCAGTTTCACGAAGGAGCCGTATAACCTAAAAAAAGATTAAGAAATACTCCTTGTTTTACAGCTCAGAGAATCTCAGCCCCCAGTCTTACTCATCACTGTCTCCCCAGTGCCTAGCTCATTGCCAGGAAGGGGGTGTGACTTGCCCACGGTCACACGATGAATTAATAGTATTGGAATTTCCACCCCTGTTTCCTGATGCACACACCAACGCCATGCCTGCATCCTGAGGCTTCCTTCAGCACTAAGGCGGGGAAAGCAGAACGCGTTTGCACAAAAGACCACGACCTTCTTAGCTACAATCATAATGAAAAAAATATAACATAAAAACGTAACATTTATTGATTGCTTACTGTGAGCTAGCACTCACTGCTTCATGCTGACCTCATTGGCTCCAGCCTCTTAAATATATACCATTATCATCTTGCTTTTACAAATGAAGAAGCCAGGGCTGGAGAGGGCTGGTCATCTGCCCAAGGTCACAGCATGAGTTGCTATAATCTGAGTGCCAGGCACAGGACAAGGCACCTTATATCCCTAATCGTCACGGCCATGACAGTTGTGGGAGTTATCGCTTCTTTTCTGAGGCAGTGAAAAAGCCACCTCCTCCTTGATGTCTGTCCTTCTTGGCCAGAGGGTTTGAGCTCCCTCCGCCCCACATGCCATGTGGGTTCCTCCTCTTCCAGGGCACCTACACCTTCCCGGATGGGCTGCAGTACGACGGGGAGCACTGGCATTACTGTGACAGCTACGACCGCAGATTTTACACCGAGATCTGCTATGGCTTGAAGCCTGCAGGTACCTGGCCCTCCCTTCACCCCCTTCCTCTCCCTTCACACCCAAAGAAAAGGCCATTCTAAATCAGTGGGCCCAGGCCTACTGAAGTAACCCAAAGGGTGGGCAGTGTCCCGCAGGGGCCGTAGAACTCAGAAGAGCTGGGTCTGCAGCCAGAAAGTAGAGTCTTCAAGCGTCGCTTCCGCTGCTCTAGCCAGAGACCACTCACAGCACATGCACTCAGTTTCTCCCCCACAAAATCGGGCAAGCGCATCATCTGCCCCGCGAGCCTGTTGTGGCTAAGGTAATGCACATAAAGTGCGTGTTCCCACGGGCTCTTGCACACGCGCGGGTGCAGGACGCCTCTCAGCTGTTGTCTCGCAGCACTAAAGGGCCGTGTGCCCGGCGTGGAGGGGAAGCAGGAAGTTTACAAGTCTGCTGCGTGGGGGAGCCTGCTCCTTAGATGCTGCTGCTCGCTGGAGCCGAGAGGTGGCTGGGCGCACCGCACTGCTTGTTGGCGGTGGTAGCCATGGCTACCTTGACCCTTCTCCCGAACAGTAAAGAATGCTCGTGCTATGATGGATGGGATGGCAGGTTTCCTCACACACACGGTAGAAAACCCTGCCATTTTCACTCTTGGGTGCTCAGCCTTGGGGGAGCTAGCCCACGGAGCCCGCCGGTGTGACCGGTAAAGCCCTCTCTCCACTTCTCCGAGGGCTGGTTTCTCTGGGAAATCGCCGTGACAGCGGAGCTGGGTGGCGTCTCGGATCCCCGTCTCACAGAACCTCCAGCTGACCCTGCCTCCATTTTCTTATTTAGAAAATGGAGTCATGGGTTGCTGTGAGAGCGAGGGAAGTGGCAGGATCCAAGCACGTAGCACCACGCCCGGCACTTAGCTCAGTGCCCAGCAGCTAGCATGGTGACTGGTGAAAGTCAAGGTTCTCAGTGCCCTGACTCCTGCCCACCAGCCCACCTGCTCTTCTTCCTAGCCGTGCCCTGTCCCCCAAGATTTTCTGAAGGAGGCAATTGGCTCCTGCCCTGGGTTTTGCCACCTCGAACGCTACCCTCTCCTGGACATGCCTTTCCATGCACGTGGCAGACTCAGAGGCATCCTCAAGGCATCCTCTCTCTGACTCCAGGACCTGAGCCCTTGTCCTGGTATCTCTAGAAAAGGGGGCCTGGGGTCAAAGGAAGAAGCCGGCCAGGCTACTTCCCACTTTGGGGAGGGGGGGCGGGCGGGGGCTGTGTTTGGATTTGGCCTTGGTGGTGAATTAATCATCCCTTATGTCCTTTCAAGTTATCTCTCAACTCACCAATATGGACCCACCTAGAAAAATCCCTGAAGGCTGCTATGATTGTGGAGACGGCTTCTATGACCCCAAAACGAGGATCATCAAAGATTATAATAATCGCTTTCTGCGAAATGCAGGTATGTTTATTCTGATGCCCCACGGTCTGGGCCCTCTCTTCGCCCGCCCACACAGAGGGGTGTGCCCACGTGTGCACAGGCACACTTGCATTTGGTGAGAAAGAAGCTTTGGCTGACAAAAGACAAAAATCTGATTGATGAGAGCTTCCTTTCCTTATGGGGAAATTTCCTCAGTGATTCCGTGATGATCAGAGTGGCTCCGTGGTGCCGGAATAGGAGCGAAGGGAATTGTTAGCTGATGTTTCAGATGAACCTAGCAGCTGAGACACCTGAACCACCACCAGTGCTACTGGAGAAGCAGGTCAAATGCTCCCCCTCCGGGACCCCTGGCAGTTTCCTTGAGCGACTTCCCCTCCCTGTGAACGCAGGGCAGAGTGGTAATAGTTCTGCTGGATGCTCTTGGGTGCCCATGGTCCACCATGATGCTTCTTGATCAAATAAGAGGAGGTCCTGAGCTGAACAATGCTAAGCGGGGCCTCCAATATGCTAGTATCTCTTGTAGTTTCACCACGTATTTCAACTGGAATTAAGTACTCACTTGCACAACTAATTGCTCACTACCTGTCTTGGCACTAGACTGTAAGGGCCATGTTTGCAGGGACTTCGTCTTATCTCCCCTGTGTCAGTCAGACTATAGTCTGCAAATCAGCAGGAATGTCCTACCAGGCAATTGGCTAAATAGGTGTTAGGAACTGTAAATGCGAGAGGAAAGAACATTGAGGTAACAGAGAAAATAAGCGCAGGAAGCAGCCATCATCTCAAGAACTGGGGGAGAAAAGCAAGAGATTGGGAAATTAGAACTTATCAGGATGCCAAGGAGCTGCAACACAGACCTCTGAAGAGGGGGCATTTCCCATGGGGCCTCTGGAGAGAGAATGACGAGCCAAGTTGATTCCAGGCATGTGGAAATAACTGGAAGCTGGATGTGAAATGCCTCTGCTGAGACATCACCAACGTGAGCAGCAAGCGAAAGAGAAGCGCGTGTCCCCTCTCCCACTAACTGCCTCGAAGCACTCGACTGGGGGCCAGTTGGCAAGGCAGAAATGTCCATGTAGTCCCAGCCCCAGCCTCAAGACGCCGAGTCTAGAAGGCGTGGCATCGAGGTCAGTAGCTTCATGACTGGACTATGTGTCCCTTCTGCTGCTCTGCATCAGTCCGCCTCTTCTGTACCACAAAGAAGATGCATCTGGGATGACACTGCAATGGTGGGTACACGACATCACACCTTGTCCAAGCCCACAGATTGTACAGCACCGAGAGGGCACCCTAATGTGGGCTTTGGACTTTGGGTGATTGCGACGTGTCCCTGGGGGCTCATCTGTGGGAACAGGTGTACCTGCTGGTGGGGGTGATGATCATGGGGAGGCTGGGTGTGAGGCAGGACGGGGGGATATGGAAAATCTCTGTATCTTCCTCTCAATTTTGTTGTGACCCTTAAACTGCTCTAGAAAACAAAGTCCTGAAAAGTAGCATCCTGGGACAGGAAGGCGATTCTTAGGAAGCTTGGAGAAGGACGGACACTGATGATTGTCTTGTCAACAGCAATTTAGTGACTACTTGCTGGGGTCTGGCTGTGGTTAGGCATGAAGGTGGTCAGTGTCACAGGAGCAGGTGAAACTGACAGTAAAGTGCGTTGTAACAGTATAGAGTTGTTGCCAGAGAACCCAGTAGGGAGACCCACCCCTGAGGCCAGCAGGCCAGGGAGGTTTCCTGGGAAAAGCAAGATGTAATGTGAAAACCTACAGAAGAGCAGAGGAGCACAGTAGGGTCGGGAAGAGTGTTAAAGAAGAGGGAACAGCATGTGCAAAGGATTAGAGATGGGGGAGACCAGTGCATAGCTTGGGGCTTCCATGAAGCTCATGGTGCATGAGATGATGGTATATCAGGGGAAGAAGAGCAAGAGAGGAGAGGAGCAAGAGGTGGGTTGAAGGAGGCAATTGGAAAGATCATGGGTGTCTTTTCACCGGAGGATGGGGAAGGGAGCTGTGTTGGGGTGAATGAAGAGGGCAGGGCGAGGGGAGGTTTCAGGCAGGTAGAGCAATAACTGATTCATCCTTCTGAAAGATTTCTCTAGTTCCATACAGAGAAGGGGACAAAGCAGGTAAGATTAGATGGGAGATCCTTCTGGCAAGATGGCAAGAAAGGGGCATTGGAAGGCCCACGGGCCGCAGGGTGGAGACATGGCCGCCTGACCCGGCTCTCTGGCTGCCTGCTGGCTGGTCTGAGCCGATGCCTGCCCTCTCTCGGCCCCTTTCTCTTCATCTGTCAAATGAGGGAGTGAGGCTGGATAATTTCTAGGGTCTTTCCAACCTTAAGAGGCTATGATGGAGGACAAAGGTAGCCAAGGGGTATTTTAGTTCTGATAATATAGGACAGATCAAGTTGAGAATGTCCCGGAAACCACTAAGAGGGGTTCTCTGGAGGCGGCCACCTAGTCATTACCCTGACTCACCTCACCCGACCAGGGGCTGACTAGGGCCTCTGTCCATCGTCTATTTTCCTGTGCATTCCCATCTGCCCCCATAAACAGCACTTCCTGTTGGCATCCTGAAGGCCCAGGACGGCTGGTCAGGTCTGAGGTGGGTGACAGGCCATGCCGCGGTCGACACAGCAGCCCGAGCCTCTGCTGTTACACAGCACACGCCCCTGGGCAGCTCAGAGCCAGCATGCTCAGCTCACAGGAGGCCACTAGCTGGGGTTCTGCAGGAGGGTCACCTTGGGTTCACCTTCACTCTCTGAACTCCCTTGACACTCCCTTCCTCACCCCTCAATGTTCAGCACATAACAGAAGACCATAAAGTCTTCACCCGTCACCCAGTAGAATGGCAGGTGACTTGACCTGTCCGTCCGAAGCTCGAAGCGAAGCTGGGAGAGGCATGACCACTGTGGAGGCCCCTCGCCAGGCCCTTGCTAAGCACCTTCCCTGCTTATCGCCTCTGCTCCTTTCCACCCTGCCCAGTGGGTAATTTTCATGAGCCCCGATCTGCCACAAGGACACCCGTCACTTAGCTGGGGACAGAGTCACAGTGGAATCCAGCCGTGCCCCAGAGGCGCTTTTCTTTCTCCTCCCCGGTTTTGTGTCCTAGCTCTTCCCTCCCTGACGGGGCTATTTCATTCATCGCTGTTCCTCTGGAAGCCAGCGGGAGCTCAGCGATGTTCCTAAATGAACGAAAAGGTCCATTTTAGAGTCTTAAGACAAAAACACCACAGTCCCCAAAATGAGACGCTACCTTATTTGGCAAAGGGCCCTTTACACACACGGCAGGCCAATGAGGAGGCATTTGAAGATATTTGGGATAATTACCCTTAATATGGTGGGCGAGTGGGAGATTAGCGCTCACCCTTCCCCTCCTCCGCGCCCCTTTCAAGGCTCTCTGGAAGAATAAGCTCCAGCCGCGTGAGCTGTTTGCACGTTGTCTCTTCACCGAGCTGTTGCTTGCCTCGACGTTACCAGTAGGAGTCATTTGCAAAATAACTGCACCACTAATCCTTACTCCCTCCCCGCAATTAATGACACCCCATGTGAATGTCTCAGATGAAAGGCACATTATTAATATTCAAAGGAAAAAACCCTCGTAACCATTTTAACATATACAACTAACAATGAACTAAATTTGCTTTGTGGAAGACACAGAGTGAGCATCCCAAATTAGTTTATGTAAAAGCTGAAATTCTTCCCCGAAAGGTCTCAGCACCATCCTCAGAGAATACCCTGATCATCAGAAATGCCGTGAAGATTCCCGCCAACATTATCCCCTTTGTTGTCTGAAATGTGGAATCAAGCACATCTGGCAAATGTCCTAGAGCTCACAAATCTCTCAAACAGCGTCTAATTCCCAGTGGTTAGGGAGATAACGCCACCGCTTAATCGCACTGCTCTTCAAAATAGCACCAACTTGCCTTCAATCAGAAACAATGGCTTTAGCTTCTTAAAAACATCGCATACCAGTGATTATTTGCAGCGAGGGCCCCTGTGCCTTTGAACCTGTGGGTTCCAGACAGAATTTCAAATCAAGAGCACAGGCTGCTTTCGCATGCGCCCCTGGACAATGGGAAGAAAGGGTGTGGATTGGGGTCCTATGAGTGACCCGGCCCCCGGTGATTGGGAGTCTTTGGGAGGTGACGGCTGACTTCCCCAGAAAGAGGACGACGAAGGACTTGGAGATGACAGTGTGGTGAAAACCAGCGTGGGCCAAGCACCAGGCACCAGGCACTCATTTGAGAGGGCAGAGGTGGGGCAGAGGTGTATCTGACAATTGAGGAAACTGAGGCTTGGTGAGGTTAAGGGATTTCTCCAGGAAATTAGGTAAGGAGTGGGGTTCCCCCCAAGCTCATCCACCTCCAGGGGTTTTCCTCTTTCTGCTTTACCAGGCCAGCTCCCAGATGCCCGGTTCACGGAGGCCTGGCAGGGCCAGACACTGGTATTTCTCTACCTCCCTCCCCTCTCTAGAAAAGCTACCTAGAAATGATCTTCTAAAGTTGCTTTGGCATTATTAAATAGTTGGAAACTGGAAACATCCCACATGTCCAGCGGGAAGGAACTGATTAAATAATACAAAGTATATTCTTAGAGTAAATTACAATGCTGCCGTGAAAATGGCAGTGAGGGAGCAGGTCTGTCGCTGCACGAAGGTGACTCAATTTTATCTCAGCTAACAGCCCAGGGGAGTAATAATAACCAGTCTCCACTGAGCGCTCTGTCCTGGCACTGGTGTACCACTTCATAGATTGCGTTTTCTTTCATCGGATCCTCACGGTTACCCTGCAAAATAGTCATCTTTATAGCCCCCATTTCACAGATGAGAAAACCGAGGTGAGGCGAAATGCCCAGCCCAGAGTCACCAAGAGGACACGTGGGCTGGTGCTGACTGAGAAACCAGAGTTTACCTGCAAAGAAGGAACCCCAAATTGCTACCAGGGTCAGATTGCAGTGTGATTCTTTTTCCTGGGTAGTTCTCTGCCCACTCTCTGGTTCAAAAAGAACAAGATGAGAACAGGAA